GTGATGAATATGAATCTATTTGGACTCTTCTCCATGCAGCCATTCATGTTAACCACCATTTGTTAAAAACACTGACCTTATTCCAATGTATATTTCTGGCTTCTTTTTCAAAAATCAGGTATCCATGGGTGTGTGGATTTATGTCTGGGTCTTTAATTCAGTTTTATTGATCAATGTGTCTGTTCTTGTGCCACTACCATGCTGTCTCTATTACTTTAGCTTTTTAGTACAATATGAGGTCAGGGATAGCGATACCTCATGCAATTCTTTTATTATTCAGGATTGTTTTAGCTATCCTGTTTCGTTTGGGGGGGTGTCTGTCTGTCTGTCTGTGTTCCCATATGAAGCTGAAATTTGTTCTTCCATCTGTGTAGAATTGTGTTGGAATTTTGATGCGATTGCATTGAATCTCTAGATTGGCTTTGGTAAGATGGCCATTTATACTGTGTTAATCCTACTGATCCATGAGCATGGGAGATCTTTCCATCTTCTGATATCTTCTTCAATTTCTTTCTTCAGTGCCTTAAAGTTTTCAATCACACGAGTCTTTCACTCGCTTGGATAGAGTTACACCAAGATATATTTATGTTATTTGAGGCTATTGTGAAAGGTGTTGTTTCCCTGATTTCTTTTTCAGTCCATTTGTCATTTGCATAGGAGAGTTACTGATGTTTGAGTTAATTTTATATCCAGCAACTTTGCTGAAAGTGTTTCTCGGATGTAGGGATTTCCTGGTGGAATTCTTTGAGTCACTTATGTATACTGCCATCATCTGTGAGTAACGATACTTTGACTTCTTCCTTTCCAATTCGTATGCCCTTGATCTCCTTCAGTTGTCTTATGTTCTAGCCAAGACTTCAAGTACTATATTGAATACATATGGAAAGAGGGTCTTGTTCCTGATTTTAGTGGAATTGCTTTGAGTTTCTCGACATTCAAATTGATGTTGACCATGGGCTTCTTGTATACTACCTTTATTATATAGAAATATGTCCCATGTATCCCTATTCTCTCTAGAACTTTGATCGTGACGGGGCTTTGGATTTTGCCAAAGGCCTTTTCTGCGTCTAATGAGATGGTCATGTGGTTTTTGTCTTTCCATTTATTTATATGATGAACTTTATTTATTGATTTACATATGTTGAACCATTCCTGCATCAGTGAGATGAAACCTATTTGATCATGGTGGATGCTCTTTTTGATTTGTTCTTAGACTTAGTTGCAAGTATTTTATTGAGAATTTATGCATCTGTGTTCATAATGGTAAATAGGTCTGTAATTCTATTTCTTTATTGGGTCTTTATCTGGTTTGTATATCAGGGCATCATATGGCCTTGTAAAACAAATTGAGACATGTTCCCTTTTTCTCTGTTTTGTGGAATAATTTGAGGAATGTTGGCATTGACTCTTTGAAAGTCTGATAGAATTCTATGGTAAAAACCATCTGGTTCTTGGCTTGGGGGTGGGCAGTTAATGACTGCTTCTATTTCACTAGGATTTATAGGTCCATTGAAATTGCTTATCTGATCTTAATTTAACCTTAGTAAGTGGTACCATTTCTTTTAGGTTTTTCCAATTTGGTAGAATAATGGCTTTTCAAGTATGTCCTAAAATAAAAATAAAATAAATACCTTTAGCTGGGCAGTGGACAAATGCCTTTAATCCCAGCACTTGGGAAGCAGAGGCAGGTAGATCTTTGAGTTTGAGGCCAGCCTGGCCTACAGCGCAAGTTGCAGGACAGCCAGGACCATCCAGAAAAACCCTATTTAAAAAAAACCTAAAAAATAAAGTGTATGTCCTTATGATTCTCTGGATTTTCTCAGGGTTTGTTGCTGTGTCCTGCTTTTCATTTTTAATTTTGTTAATTTGGATATTCTCTTTTTGCCCTTTAATTAATTTGAATAAGGGTTTGTCAATCTTACTGATATTTCTCAAAGAATCAAATTGTTGTTCCACTAATTCTTTGTTTCTATTTTATTGATTTCAACTCCAAGTTTTATTATTTCTTGCCCTTTACTCCTTTTGGGTGTGATTCCTTCTTTTGTTCTAGAGCTTTCATGTGTGCTATCAAGTTACTAGTAGATCTCTGCAAAATCTCATTTCTTTTTTCCTTTCTTTTTTTTTTTTTTAAGGTAGGCACTTAGTACTATGAACTTGCCTCTTAGAACCCTGTCCTGCATGTTTGGATATGTTGTATATTCATTTTCATTCGATTTTAGAAAGTCTTTCACTTCTTAATTTCTGTCTTGACCCATTTTTCACTCAGTAGTGAGTTGTTCAGTTTCCATGAGTTTGTAAGCTTTCTGTTGTTGATACCCAGCTTTAGTCTGTAGTGGTCAGATAGGATGCTGGGTGTTATTTCAGTTTTCCTGTGTCTGTTGAGACTTGCTTTGTGTCCAAGTATGTGGTCGTCTTTGGAGACCATTATATGAGGTGCTGAGAAGAAGGTGTATCCTTTTGTGTTTGGGTGAAATGTTCTGTAGATATCTATCTAGTCCATTTGTTTTATGGTGTCACTTAGTACCCACATTTCTCTTGTAGTTTTTGTCTGAATGGCCTGTCTGTTGGGGACGTGGATTATTGCAGTCTCCCACTATCCAAGTATGAGACTGAGTATGTGATTTAAGCTGTAGTGTTTCTTTTATGAACTTGGGTGCCCTGGTGTGGTGTGTAGATACTAAGAATTGCAGTGTCCTCTTGGTGGATTTTTCCTCTGATGAGTATATAATGTCCTTCCCTATTTCTTCTGATAAATTTTGGTTTGAAGTCTTATTTTGTCAGGTTCTAAAATGGCTACCCCAACTTGCCTCTTAGATCCATTTGCTAGGAGTTCCTTTTTCCATGCATTACCCTGAGTTGATGTCAAGGTATGTTTCTTGAATCAACAGGATGGATTCTGTTTTCTCATCCATTCTGTTAATCTGTCTTGTTCGTGTTCCTAAAGTTTTCATTTCTAGGTTTTTCTCAATTAGGGTTTTCTGGCCAGGTAGTGGTGGCATACTCCTTTAAGCCCAACACTTGGGAGATAGAAGCAGGTGGATATCTGTAATTTCGAGGTCAACCTGGTCTGCAAATTCCTGAATTCCAGGACAGCAAGGACTGTTACTCAGAGAAACCCTGGGGGGAGGGGGAGTCAATTTGGATTTTCTTTCTTGAGTCTATTTCCACTTTCAAGTTTTGAACTATTGAATCTTTCTGCTGTTTGTATTATCATAGATATCTTTAAGGGATTTATTCATTTTTCTTTAAAGACCCCTATCATACTGATAAAGGCTATTTTAAGGTCTTTGTCTTGTCTTGAGCTATGTTGTAGTACTCATGGTCTGCTGTGGTGGGGTTGCTGGGCTCTAGTAAAGACATTGTCCTGGCTGTTGCTGTTTATATGCTGATATCTAGGCATCACTTTGAGAAGAATATAACTCCTGTCTTCTTTTGTTGGGAGGGTGTTTTATTCCTTGGTTTCTGTTTCCTTCTCATTCTTTTGGAGAATGTGGTTGCCATGTGTTGCCTAGTAGGAAATTCTCATGGGATTCTGATAGATGTGGCCACTGGGGGTTCTGGGTGAAATGTGTGTGTAGGTATTGGGGTCTGACACTTAGGAATAGAGATGGTCTAGGATGGGTCTGGGGGTAAGGTGCACAGAAAAGGAGGAAAGCAGGGTGTTCCACCAGGATCTGCTTAGTCCCCTGAGAATGGAGCCAGAGAGTGAGGAGAGGCCACCAGAGGTAGTCTGCTACATAGCTGTGGATGATACTGGGGGATTGGACTTGGAGGAATGGAAGGAGAGATAAGGAGATAGGAGCATGGTGAGGGGGGACACAGAATCCTCAACAGGTGATCTGCTGCAAAGCTATGGATTTGGAGGAGAGATAGGTAAAGATGAGTAGTTAGCCTGCCAATTTCCCTGGTCAGAGTGTCCTGTGGATTCCCAGGGAGTGCCTGCTAGAGTTGGGGTCTGGGATATAGCAATGAGTTGGGGGAGAGAAGCCAGGAGGGGAAGATCTGTGTGATCCAGTGGAGATAGGAGCTGCTTCCAAATTACCACACAGAGTCTTATATTAATTGTAAATGTGTGGCCAATAGCTCAGGCTTATTACTAACTAGCTCCTAGATTTTAAATTAACCCATATTCCTTATTTGCCACATAGTGATACCTCTATTAGCATGGCACATTCATCTTGATTGTTTGAGTCTACGGACTCTCATTCTGTCCTCCCCCACCACTACCACATCCTCCATTTGATCACCTTGCCTGTACTTTTTGCCCAGCTGTTGGCCAATCAACTTTTATGAGCCAGTGAGAGTAATACATATTCATAATGTACAGAAGGATTATTTCACAGCAAGGGTGTGGGAAGCCCCAGCAGGTATTCTACTGCAGAGCTGGGATGAGACTGGGGGATTGGATTTGGAGGAGCAGAGAGGGAGAGATCTGCGTCAGCCTGCATGCTTCCCACCAACCTTCAGTTTTGAGACCGTCTTAAATCTGGAGGTCAATATTGGCTAGGCTTTATGGCCAGTTCATTCCATGGAGCCTTCTGTCTTCTGTCCCACCTCACTGTTGGCTTTTACCAAGGTGCTAGGGATGTGAATTCAGTCCTGGTGCTAGTAGTGCATCTGACATTCTGCCTACTGAGCTGTTTCCCCAGCTCCCAAAAGAATTGAAAGAATTTTTTCACGTTTCCTGTGTGTGTGTGTGTGTGTGTGTGTGTGTGTGTGTGTGTGTGTGTGTGCGCGCGCGCGTGCACATCTATAAAGAAAAAGAAGTAAGTTCTCACCTTCTACCATGTGGGATCCAGGGTGAAACTCAGGTTAGCGATAGGGCCATTCCATACATGCCATCTCTCCAGGCATCCTCAACATCATTTATTGAGTATTTATTGTCCATATAATACTGACCATTTGTTCATTTCAGCTGTTTTCTCTAGAAAACATTGTATTCTAAAACTAGTGGAATGGAATTCATGAAGTGATTTTTTTGTGTGTGCTTTCATTTTTAGGGAAGCAGCAAGAGAATGTCGTAGAAAGAAGAAAGAATATGTGAAATGTTTAGAGAACAGAGTGGCAGTGCTTGAAAACCAAAACAAGACATTGATTGAAGAGCTAAAAGCACTTAAGGACCTTTACTGCCACAAATCAGATTAATTCGGGATTTAAATTTTCACCTTTTATGGTGGAAAATGGACTGGATTGGCCACAACCAGAAAGACAAAATAAACATTTATTTTCTAAACATTTCTTTTTTTCTATGCGCAAAACTGCCTGAAAGCAACTACAGAGTTTCATTCATTTCGCTTTTGCATTAACTGTGAATGTCCAACACCTGCTTCCACTTCTCCCTCAAGAACTGTGCAGCACCAGGAATCATGAAGAGACTTCCGCTCTCCACCTCCCATCCTCCTCAAGAAGTAATCATTTGTTTACTTGTAAATTGTTGGGGGAAATGAGGAAAATGAAATCATGGCTTGTTTTGTTTTGTTTGTTTTGTGTTGTTTTAAATGATTTCAAGGTTTGTGCTGAGCTCCATGATTGCCTTAGGGACAGAATTACCCAGCCTCTCGAGCTGAAGTAATGTGTGGGCGCCTGAGGAAAGTAGGTAGGGTGCAATGAAGAAGTGTTGATTGCCAAACTGATGTTTCTACAGTTTCATTGTGAATTATGTAAAACTGACTGTTCAAAGACATGCCCTCTACAAAAGGATTTTAGTTCAGTGTTGAAGAGTAGATTTTCTGTGTATGTTCTTTTCTTCAGTACTAACTAAGAGTCCTTGGTTCTGAGAAGCATTCTGTATTAGCCCCAGCTCTTCTGTAGGGCAGTTGTTACTTCTGAATTCAGTTCTGTGTGTTCAGCAATTTGAATGCATTAAAAGAAGTAACCAACTGAAAATGAGCGTGGTATTTGAGTTTTAGTTAAGTTAAAATCCAAGTGCAAAGCTTATTTTGGTTAGTACTAAATCTTAATGAACAGATGCTGGCCAGGAAGCCAACTCCTTGAGTTATATTACAAGGTTTTAATAAATAAAAGCTTTTGCCCTTGCTTTCAAAATCCTATATTGTCACTCATTTCCCTAAAAGACTATTTCTGATTCATTGTTGCATTTACATTGTGCCACCAACAGGAAAGCTTTCAAGATATCCAAGCTGCTGACTTTAAAGAAGTACTAAATTAACAACCATTTCTATATTCAAATAGTTTATCAGAAGACCTCTTAGAATTTTTCTAAATGAAAGAAGTCACAGGGTGTGGAATTAAATGCACACAAGAAAAGCAGTTTCTCTGGACACAGCGTGTCTGCTGTGGTACACAACTGGCAAAGCTCCTCTCCTCCCATAAAAGTGGCGCTGCTCTAGCTGTGTAGAAGCTATTCTCTTGTTCCTAAAGTCGCTCCCTACGTAAGTCCTGACTGCGTTTATGTGTGATGTTTCTGATAAGACTTAGTAATAACTCATCTTTGTTCACTAAGTCTGATAAGATCTGAAAGTTCAGAGACAGATATGAGGAAGATGGAGGCTGTCGTATTATATTCATGTTTGAGAAAGAACTTGGACTCAGAAGCTTGTTTTATATTTGCTCATGGGATATTAAGAAAGCTGGTTTTTTAATATCAGCATATACATACGAGCATTAGATGTTTGGCCCATTTTTAAAAATAAGTCTTTAGGTTACTCTCTGTAAATGTTATATCTTGTTTGTAATAAACCATTGTCTTTTTTCAAGGATGACAGTTTGTGAAGGAGCATCATTCTAAGACTTGAGTGATGTAATCCTTATGTTTGGACAGTTCACCAGATTCTCAAGAAGGCTTTCAAACGACTGTAAAGTTTGATGTTTGTCCTGCTGAGCTTACTGGGAAAGAGATAGTATAAAAACTGTGTACCAGCATGTAGATGTATCATTTGTTAAACAGAGATGAAGCAAAAACCACAATCTGTTGACAAGCTGGAATTACTTCACTTGAAGTCAGAATGTCAGTCTGAGCATTTTAAATGTCACAAGTGGAAAGTTGCCTAGTGTGTAGAAACTGTGATCTCTAAGTGTCTGTTTTCAAAACTTGAGGCTTTCTCCATACTTAGGAAATGGGTGGTCTCCTTAGTCCTTTGTAGGCCAAGGCAGCAGTCTCAGGCACATTTACTAGCTAAGTGGGTTCGAATCCAGAGGCCTGGGTCCTTGTGCCTGGAGCACAGCTGCACTGATTTGAAGCTGTCTACTTAATAAGGTGAGAAAGAAATGTGTGGTGTTGCTAAATCTGACCTGAAGATTCAGTTTATACAGAAAAAATCAAGCCTCTTTAATGCAAGCTGTTTTTTAATATAAGAATTAGAAAAAAAAACCTTTGTTTTTGAGCTACTTGGAGAATCTTTATTAAGAAAATGACATAATTTTTTAAAAAACACTTATATCCAAGATTGTATGTGGCCACATTAACAGTGATGTTTTTCTCTTGATATTGGCCAAAAGGGAATGAAAATGTTGTCATAGGAATCTGTACATATGCTACTGATTTACCTAGAAAATAGCAAGTTTGGTATTGCTCACTTTGCATATATAGGGCCATGTGGCACTTTTATCTATAGGACAGATTAACTCTAATAAAAATGAAATGGGGAGGGGTTTATTTTTGATATATTACTCTTCTGAGTTTTCAAGCTTTGATAGTGTTTAACTGAAAAGTGGTTTAGAAAGGGCTAGATCCAATATGTTCATATTAAAAAATTGATATGAGACACAGTTTAAGTTCTTTATCAAAAACCATATTAGCAACCATCATATTGTCATAGGTGCTGTGCTTGTTTAGATGTTATAGAATGGGTGGGGAAGTGGCATTTTGTAATATATGTGTACATATATACATACATATAGTATATCATCTAAACGCTCTGAGAGAGCTGTTACGTCAGGAATGCTGAGTATTATAGCGTATTGAGGTCAGATGAAATCCCACACTTCTGCGCAGTCTTCGCATCTCTTCTGGTTTCAGTGATTCTATTACTCCAGCACTCAGAATTGGTTTTTATCCTTTATTTTTTCGTCCAGTTTTTTTTTTTTTCATTTTCTTTGGCTTGATGCATTTGGGTATGTTACCAGTCACTTGAAAACTCCTAGCCCCCACAGCTTTTTTGTTTTTGTTTTTCCTGCTTTGTTTCTGGCAGCTATAAAATTGGTAAGAAATTTTGACAATAGCTTTTCAAAGATTTTTTTTTTTTTTGAGAATCATATTGGGCAAAGACTTCTGGTGTTTCATTTGAACAGGGATTTTGTCAGGAAATGTGTTTTGATGGCAGGTCAGCAAGCAGTGCTAGTGTCCAAAGCTCAGAGCCAGGCAGGCAGGCTGTCCACCACAAGTCACCTGGCTGAAGTTTGTCTGTCTCTCAGGACTCCTCCCTGCTGCTTCCCACCATTGAAGGTGACGTGGAATCATACAAAGATTTGGGGCTTAGCAACAGAGTTATAACCCAGGTGCTTTTAGTTACTTGGAGTGACTTCAATCTAAATGTCTTCTTTCTCTGCCAGCTCCAGTGAGCTAATAACATGTTCATTTCTCTACCAATAGCTGCTTCATTTTCAGTTCCTTCCAGAGGCTTGGTTTTGCCTTTGTAAACACTGAAAACTGGTGGCATATCATTCCCTGGGGCCCAATACAAAGGTTGTATATTTACTTGGGGTTGTAGTTACATTAATTCTTTGTAAATGTTCGGTGTAATTTGCACTTTTTTTAAATGACCCAGTTTGGGTATCAGCAACTTGGGAAATTCCCTCATCAATTAGTTCTCCCTGACTTTTCTGTCTTCCTCCTCTCTCCAAATCATGGCTCCTTAATGGAAGCTTTTCGTTGATTACAATATCATAGCTAATCTAAAGTATGTTATAAAAACCTCAATATCTGGAAATTAGATTTGACTAGTCCAATTAATTAAAAAGTGAGCTGAAACTTTTTCATCATGAGCAAATATTGAAAGAAAAAATAAATACCTGTAACTTTAAATTTCATCCTCACCCCAACATTATTTCTATGTAGAGTATGCCAAGAATTTTTCCAGAATAGTGCAAACTTTGTTAAAGCAGCTAACTTATTGTTATCACGGGAGATTATGTAATAATCATTGTTACTAAAGTATTTTCATCTTAAATTTGGCTGTGTTAACATCAAAGAAATGATGCCTAAACTTGGCTGGTTTCAGATGAGGGGGCAGTAAAGGATGCTTTGTTAGGCCTGTACAGGTGAATCACCATAGTATAAACTTGTTCACAGAGTAGTACAAAGCACAACTAGAATTTCTGTTGGGTGGCTCACATGTGTCTTTCAATGTTAATAATGTTGACTTTTAAGTTAACTGTCACTGTTTAAGTCCTAGGAACTGGTTTCCTTGACTTTCTAGAATCAATGGCCAAGAGAGGCATATAATCCTTGAGGGGTTGAACATATCATGAAGTTGAGTCAGTATGGAAGAATTTCAAACAAATCAAACAGGGTGCTGCGGTTCCGGCTGACTCATCTGCTCATGGTATGCTTCCTCATGAGTGAATGTAGTTTTAAGCCTTTGTATGTGTCCTCAGGGGCAGACAAACTTTCACAAGGACCAGAACCATTTGAATGGAGGAATTATATTTCAGGTGTTTTAGCTTGAAATTTATTTTTTAAAAAAAGAAAAACTAAAAAAATAAATAAGAGAACAAAGTTTGGGAAGCAAGTTGACAGTTTAAGAGCAGGCAGAGCAAATGCTGGCCAGTCCTCTTTCTGGTACTTGTGGGGGCAGGTCCCAGCTGGGTAAATGTTAAATTATTACCAGCAAGTAAAGGAAGATGAATAATCTATAGGAAGTATGTGAGAAAGGTCAAACAGTCGGACACAGCTACTTCCCAGGCATGATTCACTACTTGCCATAGAAGAACAGCATTTCTAAGCTTCTGTCTGAGGGCCGTCTCAGAGATGAGAGTCAATCTGAGATGTGGAAGAAAAACAGTAGGGAAGAAAGGTCTCTGCGGATCATGATCTATGTTGGCCACATGAAATGATTTATTATATTTGGGAGGTTTTATTTTCTTATGTTTTTTAAAATTGAATTGGTAAATGCTTTATAGACGTATTTTTACCCAGGTGCCACTTCAATGTGTATGTAATAAAATTATTTATATTAAAAGTGGGAAATCTGTCAACATTTTTCTGTGTGTGTAGATTTATTAGGATGGAGATGTGTGTTAGCAGTTTTTTTGTGTAAAGCTGTCTTCAGCTCATCTGTGCACATCGGTTATAATGCCCCCACTGAAGGGATTATTTCCAACCTAGACATGTGTCACTTGAAATAACCAGGAAAGTCCTTGAATGGTTGTTTGGCTTTTTGGGTTTTCCTTGAGTACTGGAGTAGAGAATACCTCCCCTAGAACTGTCAGCACAAAACAGGGTATCTGCTTTTAACTCTGATGTTTCTATTGGAGTTGAGTACTAATAACTATGAGGAGGGAAATACATTTCTAATAAAATTCCCTACAATCTAGAAACATCCCTGTTTGAAATTTTTTACCTAAATCTTTTTGTGCTTTATGTGTAAAGAATAAAAGTACCAAGATACCATGCATTTTATTAACACTATGTACATACTGGCTGCTTTGTGTTCAGAATGGTAGCAGTTGCTTTGTATATTAAAGTGATCCTTGTGAATTTGTGAAATATTGTCATAAAGTGCTTTTCTTACTGTAATCTTTGTGGTATCAACTGTCATAATGCCCTTTTTACACAGACATTTATGTGCAGACACATAAACATGCTTTTAAAACTCTGTAAAGTCTCTTTTTTGGGCCGGGATATCTCCCCTCTCCCTTTCCCTCTCTCCCTGTTTCTCTTCCCTCTCTCTCCTCTCTCTTCCCCCCTCAGTTAGTAGATGTTTAGCCTCATTTTCTTGAACTTGAGTTTATTAATTTTGTCAATTGAGCAAAGAATCTAGAGTCAATTTTATTGAACTTGTTTTTTAGCACTTTTTTTCCCCAGTAATGTTGAGCAGTGACCTAAAGATTTGCAAGTGTTGCTGTCCTGTTGAGTAGCTAATGGAGGCATGTACAGCATCTTATAGTTAGGAAATGTGTGTATTAACAATAACATAACTTCTCAGATCACCTTTATTCTGAACTAGTGATTGTATAAATTGCAGTGGGAAAGAGGTACAGTAGTATGCTTTTGTAATTCCAGACTTGAGAACGTTCGAGGCAGCACCAAAGGCTAGGTTGGGCTATCTCTGGTGAGGTCCTGTGGGGAAGCAGGGAAGGGTGTGAACAAGGGGTTCTAGGATGGGTGTGGTTATCATTGCCAAAGAACTAAGACTAGAAGGTTCCTGTAATATTCTGAGGTAAGTTCTGGAACTTGTAAAAAGGTAACTTAACTTTAGTCCTAAGGTGTGTAATATTTCCTGGTCATCAAATGCAGTCTTGAAGCTTGAGTCACTTGGATTCATGTTTCTCCATCTACAAAACAACCACACTTACTGAATTACCGAGACCTCAAGAGTGAAAGGATGGAACATGGCATGGTCGTGCACACCTTTAATAGCAGCACTTGGGAAGCAGGAGCAGGCAGGCCTGATCTACAAAGTGAGTTCCAGGGCAATGAGACCCTTTCTTTACAACACACACACGTGTGTGTGTGTGTGTGTAAGGCTGCTATCAATTTTATGAGGACAAGAGTTGGGCCAAGCATTTCAGTCCTGTGATCACATTTTGGTGAGCTATGGACCTCTGGAAAAACTAGAATACCTGTCTTCATGATGGCTGTCACCTGATGTTCATTTGAGGACACACTTCTAGAAACTGGAGGGACAGGAAGTTCTTTTTCTGAAATTCTAACATTTCTCCAAGAATAATGTAGTAATTTTATATAGTTGGTAGCCCTTTCCTCTGCAGTGAATTCTAGACTTTCATGTGTTACACTCACTGTGAAGCACAGGTCCCAAATAGAACTTTTAACTTCTCCAAAATTTTCATGTCATAAATGCTGTCACTTTCCAATGCCTTCCTCCATGCTACCTTGCCCATTAGGTACTACATTTTCTCCACATTTTAAGCAGGCATCGGATGAGGGGCTAACATCAGGTAGAATTCAGACTCATCTCCAGGAATATTATTTTTGTTTTTTAATTGAGATACAAGTAGCAAAATTACATTGTAGACTGAAGCACTTAGCAGTAGCAGTGAGTGCACTCACACACTTATGCAGCCACCATTTCTGTGTAGTTCGAAAGCATTTCCATTACCTGGATAAAATGCTACTCCCACTAAATGTTTAACTTTCCTCTTCGTGTCTCTGGCAACCCACAATCTGCTTCCAAGGAATCTACCAATTCTGAGAATTTCATTCACATAATGTGTACGACTTTGTGTCTAGCTCTATTCATTAAACATATTTCTGACACTGGAATTGAAACCAGTACCTGTTTATACTAGTCAAGTGCTCTGTCACAACCTATATCTTCACATGTGTGGGGACTGAACCCTGGGTTCTTGCATGCTAGGCCAGTAATTACGCTGAGCTGCATCCCTTGACTTCTTTCATGTCTGACTCCATTGCTGTTGGTTTGGGAAGAAAAACTGGAATGGCAGAGCCAATTTCACACAAAGTTATGATATGGGTAGACTTTCTAGTCTTAGTTTTCCCTCTAGCCCTCATAGTTAGCTTCCCATGTTGACAGTATTTCTTTTCTGAGACCATCTCAGGATTTTTAAACTTAACCCTTTCCTGGTTATACCAAGAAGCATTTACAGTTTAAAAGCATTAAGAACCTTTGGGCTAACAAGCCTTCAAATGTTCAAGCACAACTGAAGACTGCCTAAATTGCTCAGCTTGTGTGAACACGCCTCTAGCTTGCTAATGCAACCTCTCACAACAGTGATTCCCTTATTCTTTAGAGAACTTAGGTGCTATTTTCTATGGGGTGATTATGGGCAGCAGAAAAGTTACAAAACAAACACATGCCTCCTACCAACTCAAGTGCTGAAACCAGCACAACTTACCAATACTGTATATTGGTGGGTTGTTTTTTTAATTTGTTTTTAAATACTCTAAGGTTTTTGTTCTGTTAAAGAATTGGTAGAAAATTATAGCAGTTTTCTGGGGTTATAGCAAAGTGTGTAAGAGTGAGACAGGAGGATAAGTTTAAGATCATTCTGGACTATATGAGACAAGGTCTCAAGGGGCAAAAAGTATAGCAGTTAAACAGCATTGGTTATTGGTAAATCTTATATACATTCATGTAGCTTCATAACTGAGAACATGTTTTATTAATTTAATAGCCTGAGAGTCTATTTCTGCTTAGGTAAATCATAATAGACTTTTTTTTTTGCATCAGTGTTATTGAGCTGCCTTTATGACCACCTGAAATTTAGTGGTATGCTGTTTTTCCAGTATAAATTATATTTGTTAAGAGAATATCATAGGCAAGCTAGGAATGACGGCATGTGTCTGGTGTTTCCGGCCAGCCTGGACAACATGGCTAGGTTGTCTAAAACAGTAAGTTGTTATTCCATCCCAAAATCAAATCTAGCAGTCAGGGCTGGAGAGTGGCTCAGTGGTAAGGAGCACTTGCTGCTCTTTCAGAGGACCAAGTTCAATTCCCAGCACCCAGGCAGCTCACAATAACCTGTAATTCTAGCTCCAGGGGATACAACAACTCTAGCTTCTATACACACTAACATGCATGTACCTGCACACAGGCATACATAATTAAAATACCAATTTTTAAAATCTGCTATTCCGTTCATTTACTTGAATGAATTACAATTGTGACTTCTATGTAAAAGAATTTCTGACAATTGCACCCCTCTACAGGTATTTTCTTCAGCCAAAGGTTGTACCCCTTTTAGCCAATGGCCAGACCACATTAGGATGTAAAGGTCAGTGTGTGTGTGTGTGTGTGTGTTCCCCCCAGGGAATCTGACTTGAAAAAATATTCCAAACATCAAACCACTAAAAGCACTTAATTTTCAGCCTAGCATTAGTGGCGCATGCCTTTAATCCCTGGGGAAGGGGGGGCCCAGAGGCAGTGGATCTCTGTGACTTCGAGGCCAGCCTGGTCTACAGAGTGACTGCCAGAACAGGCTCCAAAGCAATGCAGAGAAACCCTGTCTCAAAAAACCAAAAACCTTAATTTTCACTTATAATGACCAAATTAATTCTTTCCCCTCCCTCCCTCACACACACACACACACACACACACACACACACACACACACACACGCGCGCGCGCGCGCGCGCGTGTGCTCTATTTGTAAAAAAAAAGGAGTGGGAGTGGCAATACTTTCAACCTTCTCTGATCCTTAGGTACTATTTTATGAAATCACGCCAAGAAGCCTACTAACAGCAGCATCAGGTTTTCATTGCAATGTTGGTGATGCTGTCAGGCTTTCATTTTGTTTAGAGCTTCAATGTCACGGTACAGTAGTATTTCAGAGTCAGTAAGCTATGTATGTTCCGGTTTCATATCATCAGAACTGTTTAAGCAAGACATCACCAAACACTCATAGCTTTTAGCCCACCTTTACTAAAGTAAAATTTTAACTTAACTACACCTAAAATTAACTAAAACCCCAAGGAGCTGGGTATACCTGTGAGGGATTTTTCTTATTTAAATAATTTGATAAGGGAAGACTCACCTAAACATAGATGTTTTGAGATGGAAAGATCCACCTAATCTGGGCCACAGCTTCCGGTGGGAGCCTATATAAAGGACATGGAAGGAGGAAATCTTCTCTCTCTGCCTGTTTGCCCTCACTCTCACTTTAAGCAAGTTCATTCCTTCACTGGCATTAGAACCTACTTCTTTGGGATTCCAGCATATACTGAATGCCAGACAGACATCCAGCCTTGTGGACTGAACAGTTAGTGGATACTTGGACTTTCCATTAGTAGATAGCCATTGTTGCACTATGTGAACCTCACAGCCTATAAATCACTTTTAATAACCCTCCCCTCTTCTCTCCTCCCTTCCCTGCTCCCCCCGCCATTCTGTTCCTCTAGAGAGGATCCTGACTAATATATCTACCATTTTAAATAGATGTAGAAGACAACAATATCAGATATTTTCATATCCAAAATATTTATTAAAAGAAAATGAGGTCTTGAATCATCTATACAACAAATACAACAAATTTCTACTACTAAATGCCATTGTAAGCTCATAATATCCCATGGTCTAAACTTGTAGCTGGGCGTTGGTGGTGCAAGCCTTTACTCCCATCACTCGGGAGGCAGAGGCAAATGGATCTCTGTGAGTTTGAAGCCAGCCTGGCCTACAGAGCTAATTCTAGAACAGCTAGGGCTGTTACACACAGAAACCTGGTCTCCAAAACCAAAAAAGAAAATTAATAAGAAAAGCTTGTATTGATAACTTTTGAGAAAACTCAAAAGTCAGTAACTTTGGCTAGAGATGTAATAATTCAGGGTTAGTGTTTGCCCAGTGTGTGCACAACCCTGGGTTTGATACATAGCACCACAAAACATCAGTGACCAAAATGGAATTTACCCTAAGCATTTGGTTATATGCTTTTTACTGGACACCAGGGAAGGAAAATGAGAGAGGGCTCCCAGCAGCTTACAGCCCAGCAGGAATCTGTCAATCCAAGGAGTAATTGCAGGTACAATACAGGGTTTGTACCTTGAGAGCTAACCTTTATGAAGAAATGAGAGTTAACTTTTAAAAACTAACATACTAAAAGGCAGGAAAAAAGTCATCTAAGAAACATACAACAACAGTGAGAAATGCAAAGCTGAAACAAGAATCATTGTAGAAGAAAATTTCAGCCCACAATTTTATGTAATTTTAAATGTAAAAAATTTATTTTTATTTATTCCTTTGCTTACATACCCCTGAAATCTGGCAAAAAAAAAAGGTATCATATGAGAACCAGAAAACTTATTCTTATCTCAAGATGCTTAAGAACTAAATGGTAAGCCAGATGTCATGGCACACACGTGTTGTAACCCCAGCACTCAGAGGTCAGCCTGGTCTACACAGGTTCAGACCCACCCAGGGCTACAGAGTAAGGCCTTATCTCACAAAAAAAGTAAGAGACTTCAACAGCATAAACATTTCAGGAATATATGCAGTAAACCCCGTTTACACCAACAGCCAAGGAAACAAACATACAGCCCAGGACATATGACTGAATCTCACCAGTTTAAAGATACCTCTACACCATTCTTTTCAGATTGTCAGTGGAAACTGCTTACCAAGTGGGCACATTGGCTAAGGAAAGAACAGCAGCCAAACCTCACATGTACATTTACTGCTCAGCAGAGTCAATCGTGACAGACAGTTATGGCAATGGCTCAAGGTTTGAATTTGTCTGCAAAGAGCACAAATGCTTTGTTCTTGAGCAGCTCTGGTTGGACAGACTTGCCGTCTGCCATCACATTAACATGGGAACTCTGACTGTTCTTAAAAACAATGCCCACTACAAGTCCTCCCTCTGGTCTCTCTTCTGTGCTTTGTAAATATGTACATCCTTCTCAGGATCGTAGTGGACCTTACTCACAGCAAACTGCCTCTCCAGCATCATTAAGAAGTTGTTGTCCCGTTCATAGCGAATTCTGCAAGCTAAAAGAATCACAGAGCGGCTGCTACAGAGATGTTCCAATGTTTTAAGAAGATCTGTGAAGGTATCTTCTAAGTAAATGACATCAGCGCCAAGTATGAGATCAAATTCTCCAGGCGAAAAACTTTCCAAATTTTGTCCCCAAGTCAGCTCCTTAACAACAACTTTGGGTTGGATATGGGAAGGTAGATTGGCTTCAACATTTGACTTAAGAAACTCTAATGCTACTTGTCGATCCGTGATAGTCACATGAGCACCTACAATATGGGACAAACAGAAAGTAAGGTGAACATCATACAACCATGGTGGACAGAAAGGATCTACTCCAGTTAATACAGGGCATTATCTATCCCAGATGTTATGCAGAATACCATGACCTTCCACAGAGAGGTAACCAAACCAGAACTGTGTAAATAAACCTTCAGCTTGCTTCTGTGGCATACCTACTGTTTGCCAAAGCGTTTCTAGTAAATTGTCGAGTCACAGAACGACACAAGCTGATGCTCCTCAATTCTCCAAGTAGAGCTGGCCCAACTTGATTCAGTGAGTCATAACCTTCAGATTAGTAGGGCTGGGGTAAAATAAAATTCAAGACTGAAAAACTGAGAAGTTGAATATGACTATCAAGATGAGAAGATACAGATGCAAACCAAGTCTGCTTTAGAGGGACTAATGGTAAAACGGAGTTGTCACAGGAGACAACTCAGCTACTGAAAATGTCTGGACTACCTTCATGCTATTCTAAAGCAGCTGAGCTTTTATGTGATACAAACGAAATTACCGAAAACCTGTCCTCTCAATTAGTGTACAGACTTAGTGTGTACTGGGTGATATGTTAAAGGGTAGTTCATGTTCTCCAAGTGCTACTCTACATGAAAATGAGGACATTAATGACACAGTATTCTATTCATCTGCCTTTATGGCAGTGAGACAGTGAACTCTAAGAGCTATTTATATTTCTTTATGGCAGTGAGACAGTGAACTCTAAGAGCTATTTATATTTCTTTATGGCAGTGAGACAGTGAACTCTAAGAGCTATTTATATTTCTTTATGGCAGTGAGACAGTGAACTCTAAGAGCTATTTATATTTCTTTATGGCAGTGAGACAGTGAACTCTAAGAGCTATTTATATTTCTTTATGGCAGTGAGACAGTGAACTCTAAGAGCTATTTATATTTCTTTATGGCAGTGAGGCAGTGAACTCTAAGAGCTATTTATATTTCTTTATGGCAGTGAGGCAGTGAACTCTAAGAGCTATTTATATTTCTTTATGGCAGTGAGGCAGTGAACTCTAAGAGCTATTTATATTTCTTTATGGCAGTGAGACAGTGAACTCTAAGAGCTATTTATATTTCTTTATGGCAGTGAGACAGTGAACTCTAAGAGCTATTTATATTTTTTTAAACCAATGTGGGTATGAGAAAACTGAACCTCGACCAACCATATTTGGTTTTACTACAACTCATCTATGAAGTATAATCATGTCTAGTTTTGACATCAGAAAGCTTTACATTTAAAACTGTTTTTATTCCTTCATAATAGTATCTTTGTATTTTTTTTTCTAAGCTCCCACAGGAGTCCATCACTTTCCCAGTGGCAGCTTATACCAGGTGTTTCTTATCTTAATAAAACACTAAGACGGTATGTAATTAAACCTGAGGTTTACAGTTCTAGATGGTGATACCGATAAAAATGCTGTCTGGGTCTTCAAGCCTGGACCTACCATTCTAATGATTCACTGACAGACTGTGTTGCCCAATGAGCAGAATTCAATGGCTGTTCTCTGAGGATGAAAACTGCAGCAGCCTTCCTGGTTTGAATTAGTACTTTTACTTGTGAATTTCTTGGCAGGATACACAGCACTCAGCTGGAAATACCAGAGTGACCTACTCATTCAAGCTTCACCTCAGTGCTTACTCTGAGCACTCCTCTAGTGCCTATCCTGGGGTCTCTACCTACTAGATACTACTAACTTACTAGGTATTCCAGAGCTGACACAGTACCCTGAACATCTACCAATTCTACAAATATCTAAGTGACTAATGCCAGCCAGGGAGCCCAGCAGTGCTCACTGCAGCCACACTTAGTTGAGCCAGCACAGGCCTGGTAGGAAAACCTGCATTTTACCTAGGTCAGTTACAGCGTGGTGAAGAAGATAAGGTAGGAAGGGCATGACGCTGGACCAAACAAGAAGACATAAAATGGCTTCCTGTAAGATATATACTACAATTAGAAACGCAAGTTAATATTGTTCATAAATGACAACGGAAATGACCTAGCAAAAACGCAGTGGGGTGTCACTCAGGAACGGAAAAACAATGTGTAAACCTTTATCACCACTTTTAGTTTTTGCATTGTTCTTTTGCTTGGGTGGGTGGGTGGGTGGTTGGTTTTGGTTTTTGGAGACAGGGTTTCTCTGTGTAGCCCTGACTGCCCTGGAACTCATTCTGTAGACCAAGCTGGCCTTGAACTCATAGAGATCTGCCTGCGTCTGCCTCCCCAAGTCCTGGGATCAAAGGTGTGCACCACCACTGCCCGGCTTAGGTTTTGTTTTATAAGCACTGCTTTACTTTGGATAAAACATAACCCATGTGCTAGAAACACAAAGCTGAGCGATAAAATCCTTACCTGGAGCAAAGTCTCCCGAGTGAGAGAAAGCTAAGAATAGCCATGATGCAGTGGGGGACAGAGAGAGAGACAGGAATGTGCTGTGCACCAGGACTCACACAATCAGAAAGAAATTCCTCAAGAGAGGGAGAGGCCAAAGCAAGGGAAACCTGAACCTACACATTAGAGAAGGTCGTGAACTTACACATTCAAGGCAACAGGCTGCAGGCATAAGCAGTGTGCGTCCTGGGAACTTCTCAAAGCATGAAAGAAGCTGATAAACTGTACAGGACGAGACTACAAAACCTACCCAACAAGCCAGGGACGTGGTCCGCAGCAACAGAAAGGCACCGGATGTGTTTAAACACAGACCACACCATCAATTAATAGCACATTTTAGATAAGTATCTGGCAGCTACTCCAGGAAGTGAGTCTGAGAAAGCAGAGGCCAGGTGGGAGGAGGCTACAGTCCTGCAGGGGACAGATGGGCAGGGCTGCAGTCAATAATAGAGAATAGTTACGACACAGAGTTCAGGGCTGCTGAATCTGAAACCGTAACCCGTTAACTAACTCTGTGGTCCCATCCATTATACCACAAGAGAACATAAGTCCACCAGGTGTACTTGTCATGCAGGCTTTTGTAAGAATGACACTAACCGTACAGTCTATCCCTCAACTCTGGAGATACTAGGACAATGGTCTAATGCAGAAGTAAGAAGGAAAGGGAAGAAGTTCTGGGGAGAGAATAGTCAGGGGCGATGTTCAGGGATGCAGGTCCAAGGCTCAGCTGTTAGAGAATGACAGCAAGTCAGCAGACAGCATTTGCCTGAGCACTGTATTTTAGGACAGGGGTCTCCAGGCTTAACTGGGCATCAAATTACACAGATTTTTTTTTAATTCAGATTCTCTAACCCAACCCAACTTACAGAATTCTATCTTCAAATGGGATTTGGTTTTCCCCTATGTATAAGTAGTTCCCAAGTAGCATAAAGATTCAGGGGGTTTTGAAAGTCAGAAATAGATTCAAAGTCTTGCCATAATCCATATCTGTGCAACCTTGAGCAAGTGACTGACTTCCATTAACTCTTTTTCCACACTTAAGGAAACTCATGAGGGAGTCTACTTAGATACAGGTCACTGTGAGAATGACCCTGGGAATATACAGCCTAACCGCACACAGGAACTGGTCCTCTTACTGAGGGAGCCTCACACCGACTACTGCACAGCATCATCTACTTTTTACCTAGTCCTTCCCTCTGAACTAAGCTTCGCAAGATGCCGATCTGCTGTCAGGTCACCGTGTGCTGCTCACACTGACCCAGCTGGCACTTGGTGAGTAATCAATCACTGGATTCAGGGATAAGTGACTGAGTGCCAAAACATGAACCTGAAAAAGAAAACAACCAAGCCCTTTCCAAATGTTTCCAAATCCCTACATGTTTTGGTTGTTTCTATTTTTAAAACTTTTTCTTACTCTCAGTTTCTGGCATCAAAATGTCTCCAATCTAATCCTTTGTAGTGAGTATGAAAATCACACAGCAACACAGATGCTTATGACAGGCATAGGAAGAAACACACACTTGTACAGATGCACACAGATATATAAAACCATAGCAATAACTGTGAGCATGTAAAACACAGATGGAGAAAAGAATACACCAAAATGCAAATAGGAATTCTGCTACGATGCTAATTACTTTTGTAAAAAGTTGTATCCGTCTTATGATTTTTCATAATTTCCAAAAAGTCATCAATCTAGTTGGTTCATGTTTGTTTTTTAAGCTTTAAACTACGTGTATGCATGTGCGAGTCAGGTGCCCAGAGACACATCTCCTTTGGAGTCTCTGGCCAAAAAGCAAGGTCAGCTGGCTGCTTCTCAGCTTCTCTGGTCTAGCAGGGTTTCACACACATCTGATTTTGAATCTTCGTTGGTAAATAGAAGGATAGAGATTTAATTTAAACCTATATTATCAACGGCCACAGCAGAGGGAGGTGTGGGACCAAAAGCCCCTCCCCATCAGGCCACAGTGTGGTGCTGACTTTGCAGGCTATACCCCCAACACTGCAGACAATATTTAAAGTATCAATAGATTCATGTGCAGCCACTAAGCCAACAGAAACACATTACAGTCTTTGCTTCTAGACAGATGAAACAATCAATGTGTATCTCAAAAAAATTTAGCCTTCATTTTTATTTTATGCATGTGGGTATCCTGCCTGCATGTGGTCTGTCTGTACACCACTTAGATACGGTTTCTATGGAACCAAAAGAAGGTGCTGGATCCCCTGACACTCAAGTTATAGGCCTTTGTGAGCAGCCTCGGGGTGCTGGGAATCAAATCCAGGCTGTCTGGAAGAGCAGCCAGTGCTCTTACCTTCTGAGCCACTCCTAGCTGTAAGAGTACTTTATCCACTAACCCCACCCTTGTTCTCCAATCAAGACTGAAGAAAGCAACACTGACTATAGAACCAAAGCAGAAAAGGGAACATTGAAAACTAATGAGTCATCAGAGAAAAGGATGGGACAACAGACACTTAGGTTGGGCCTAAAATACCAGTAGAGTACAAATAATTCAGTGTTCCGCTATTCCAGACCAGTCATTTTCTCAACAATGAGGGACTAAGTCTACTGGTCTATGGATTTAGCACTTTAAGCCAAAGAAACTGTACACAAGGGATATTGTCCAATTCTACTGTCTGCATCATAAAATCAAAGAGAGCAAGGAGATCTCTCAGTAGAAGTATGAATTAGGAGAATGATTGTCAGCCCCCAGAGCTGAGAGCATCAGCCGGTGGCCCACAGCTCATAAGCATGGGAGAAGAAGTTAGCTCAACAAGGGGGATCCCAACCACAAGGAAACAGCAAGTACCTCTCAATGAGTTCTGCTCATAAGGAGTGAGCGAGCCCAGTGCACTCACCCAGCAGGGCAGCCACTATGCCCACGAGCCCTGTGCCAGCACCCAGCTCCACAGCAGAGCAGCCCCTGAGCTCCACGGCACCCATCTCCAGATACGTGGAAAGAACGATGGCCTGAATCAGAACACAAAATATTTGAAGAGCTGTATGGCTTCAAGATGCCAAATGCTGGCAGGAAGAAACAATGACCCAACATATTCATTCTCATTCTCCCTCTCTCCCTTTTCCTCTGCCTCTGCCTCTCCCCCCCCTTCCTCTCTACCTGCAAAGTATAGTTCCCCACAGACAGGAACTTACCTGCTGCTATAAGGTAATCTATTAGAGCAAGCACAGGCACAGTGGTGCCCAAAGCTCCTGAAGTATGGTACATGCCAGCTAGGGCGCAGCTACATCTCAAAAGCTCAGTGTTTTACCCTGTCACAGCACATTTCATGAAGATTACAAAATTATTCTGAAGAAGTGACTTGGATGACCTCTGATTTTCCTCAAGGCAATGTCCAGGTCCTGAGTCAAACTAGAAATAAGCATTACAGTGCCCACTGCTTTCTGGGCCCCGATGCTGAGTCACTGCCCAACAGAGACCCTGGCCATGTTCTGCACATCAGAAGGTAGGTTTTCACCTAGCTTTAGAATTCCACATGTTCAGTGAGCATAATCTTTACTCTTCTTTTTCATAGCTATATACCAGTAGTATAACGGAAGTGTCTTCACGCCAATCATTTATTTAACAAAGACAGAGCTATCAGAAGCAGAAAAGCAAGAATGTTTTCAAACTATAGAAAATGTAAAACCTGATGTCAATTTTGGGCTCTGTCTCCACACATCTTTATATGATATTTCAGAAACTCACCTAATGAGTAACCAGGACAAATAGGCTCCTGTTTTCCTTTGAGTTTTCTGGTACTCACAGGGCAATCACTGCTCGGTCACTTCACTGCCCTCAGCTTTCAAACTGCATCCCTCCAGGATGACAAAAGCTTGTAAACTGCGTTAGTAGTAGGTGCACTCCCATGAATGTACTGAACAACCCAGGACTCTTGCATACTTCACATTGGAGGAGAGCACATGTGAATTATAGCTCAATAAAACAATCAATTTCCTTTTAAAAATTACAGTCTAGTCTTGTGATTGCAGACATTTTCAGAGCCCTCCAGAATTGACTTACCGCGTCCCAAACCACTGCTGCGACTCCCAGTTGCCTCCAGTCCTGATGGATTTGGATGGTGTGGTTTGCAAAAGAGAAGGTAGCGCGAGGCTTATGGAATTTCTGGAGCCCTATCTCCATGCTCTCCTCATAGGGTACCAGGGCCATTTCTCCTGAGTCCAACTGTCTGCTGAAACCTGTCATGCAAAAAGAATCCTTGGTGACATCGTATCTTTTGTTTGTCTGGTTTGGTTTTTGTTTTGTTTTTCGAGACAGGGTTTCTCTGTGGGTTTGGAGACTGCCCTGGAACTCTCTTTAAAGACCAGACTGGCCTCGAACTCACAGAGATAGCCTGCCTCTGCCTCCCGAGTACTGGGATCAAAGGTATACACCACCACTGCCTGGCTTGACTTCGTATCTTAAGTAACTTTAGAAAGCTGTTGAAGCTATCTACAAGTTCAAGCAAGAAACAGGTGGAGGTACATGGGATTTCTTCAACAACTTTTTCTCCAAGTTTTATGGGAAGTGAAATTTGGTTCTGAATTCCAGTCTACTGATACCTCTGGGGGAAAGTACCTAGACTCGCCAACTCTATGAGGGGCGTCCTACACTCGACATTATGCAGTTTGGAGCTGCATAATGGTGCATGAAGTGACAGTGACAGCCCTGGCACCTGACCTGTCCCAACACGACAGGACAGCAGCTTCCGGTTCCCGTGTGTGTGTGTGTGTGTGTGTGTGTGTGTGTGTGTGTGTGTGTGTGTGCGCGCGTGTATGGCGGAGTAGGGTCACTTTGGAGGCGTTTGGAGGCGGGAGTCTACCACACTGGCAGAAAACGTGCACAGCAGGAAAGCACGGCTGCAGGACCCACCCCATGCCCGCCCTGTCCAGCCCCATCCCGCCCGCCACCTCGGGGCCACAGGTGTGCCTCCCTCACTGCCACGACACAGTCGAGGCCGCCGCGGGAGGGAGCGGGACTCCGAAGGGCGATCCACCCGGCTCTTTGGGACCCTGGCTGCACTGCTCGCAGGCCACTCTACCGCATCTCAATGCTGATACTCACGGTTCCCGAGGCTACCAGAGCCGCGCAAGCGCACTAACCTTACCCTGGAGCCTTGCAAAGTTCCTCCTTAAAAGGGCAAATGGGCAGGAGGCGGGCGGAAGCTGCTTCCGGGAAGGGAGGTTCGGCTTCCGGTCCGTTACTTTACTAGCGTTGCACTTGGTTGACCCCGGTTGTGGAGTTCCTCCGTGTAATACCGCACGGTCTTGGGACGCGGGGAAGGGCGGGTGAGTGCGCAGGTGCGTGGGGTGCTCGTGACGCGGAATCGCCGCTGCTTTGCACCGTCTGAGCCCTTGCGACCATCTTACTTTTAAAAGTGGTGGGTGAGATTGGTTCCCCCAAAGTAGGGTACGAAGCGAAGTCAATGTCCGTTTTGTGGCCATGGGGTGGGAAAGTCACTACGACATCTCTTACTACGACGCGGGTGCAGTGGGGAGTGGCCGTGCGGCGCCCCGGCCACGTGCAGCCAATTCGGGCGCTCGCGTCGCCCCCGACACCCATCCCGCCGACGCGGCCACATTTCTAGATCCTTCCCTTCATCCTCGAATGCAAAGCCCCGTCCCTGGACCCCGCCACCCGTGGGTCTCCGCGTGCCTGGCCCTGCCGGGTCGTGGCTGCCCTCGCCTCGCCCTGCCGGCAGGCGGCGTGCCTGACCTCCGCATTTCCAGCACCAGCCCACACAAGGCTAGCGGCAGGTGGCCTGGAGTAAACCGAAAACCAGTAAGATCCCTTTCTGTTTGAGTCGTTTCTTCCTCTCCATTTTTCTCTTAGTAGGACCTGTCCCCCTACTTGCTCCGTAGATCTGTGCTGTCTCAACCTCCCACCTTCTCTTTTTCCTTCCCTTATTTTTAAATCTCACTTTTTTTCCACAAGGAGAAATGTTAATTACTCAGATTTAATAGTGAATAATTACATTCACGAGTAAAAAAAAAAAAAATCACACTGTACCCCGTAGATATGCACAGTTCTTTAAAAAAGGAAATCCCTTCCTTGTATTCTCTTCCCCATTTCTTTCCTTTAGGGGCCCAGCTCTAGGCACAAAAAAGTGTATGTTTTGAGGCGAGAAGAACGTTTAAGTTTTTAAATGGATTGAATTCCCCAGATTCCTGGAATCTGGCTAGCCATTCTGTCTCCCTGTACTCCATCTTTCCAACTTCCCCAAGCAATCCAGCTCTCTGCTAAGAGCATTTACAACATTACATTTACTTAGGTGTCCTCTTTGTCCCCTCCTTAGCTTCCCACAGTGTAATTATTACCGACTTGCTCAGAAGGGGCACATACATGCTTAGGGAAATACAACTTACATAGCAGTGTAGACATTAGAGAGAGCTCACAGTTTATCAAGCCAAAACAACCAGTGGTCCTCTGAATATCTGAAAAAATAAAACTGTCGTTAGAAAAAAATGAGCATGTATGAAGAGTACATATTTAACTGCTCAGCCTGCCCCAGGCCTGTTTAATGCCCCTCAAAGGGGTTCCCACAGCCTTGATTCAAACTTGACCATGTGAATTGCCTTGGCCATCAGAACATGCATGAAAGAGCTCTCACAGCTGTGTTGTTGCTCCTTTCCCGCTACTCCAGGACCTTTTGTGTGTTTTTTTAGAATAGGGTCTCTCTTCTCTACATAGCCTTGGCTGTCCTGGAACTTGCTCTGTAGACCAGACTGGCTTCGAACTTAGAGCCACTGGCCTCTGCATCCCAAGTGCTGGGATTAAAGGTTGTATACCACCAGGCCTAGCTAGAACTTGTGTCTTTCATTCTTTAGGACAAGGTCTCCAGTTGGAGCAGAACTGAAGAAGAAGTAAATTGTGATCTGGGGATGTTGCATCATTACTTAGATGGCAGCAGAACAGGGGTGTGAACAAGCTAGGAGACTTCAAAGTGAGGTAAAGGGGCCTAAAGAGATGACTTAGAGAGTTGAGAGCACCTTTTGCCCTTGCAGAGGACACAGGTTCAGTGCCCAGCACCCACAAAATGGCTCACAAACATCCAAGACTCCAGTTCCAGGGACCCAGTGCTCTCCTCTGACCTCTGCAGGCACCAAGCATGTATATGGTGCACATACATATGTGCAGTTAAGAGTTGTACAAAATAAAAAGTGGCTCAGAAAAGAGTGAGGTAAATGTTTGAGTAGGTTGAGCTGTTTGGCAAGGAATTCTTTTGGAGACTCACCAGGCATGTAAGAACTTACACATTGTCCTCTTGAATCTCAGTGTCAGCATCAGCTGAGGATTCTTTAATTAAAATGCAGTTCTAAGAACTGAGAGGACACTTCACTCACACCCTCATTTGGTTGTGTTTTGGTTGGGTTGTGGAATATTGGTTTAACTATGTAAAGATGTGTTGCATTTTTTTTAATCGTGGAAAAGATGTGTTGCTTGCTTAAGGCACCTGTTTGATCTAGTAAAAAGCTGAACTGCCAATAGTGAAGGAGGAGGTATAGGCAGGGAGAGTACATAGGAGGAGGAATATAGGCTAGTGGTGAGGTAGGGAGGAGAAAGAAAAAGAGACCACAGGGAGACACCAGGGGCCAGACAGACAGACATAGAGGAAACAAGAAAGCAGGACATACAGAATGAAGAAAAGGTAAAAAGGCAAAATGTAGATGAATAGAAACAGGTTCAATTAAGTTAGCTAGTAGGACAAGCCTAAGCTAAGGCTGAGCATTCATAATTAGTAATGTCTCTATGTCTTTATTTGGGAGCTGGTTGTCAGCCCAAAGAAAATGCCAACTACATGGCTGTTTCAGGCAGGCTCTCACTCTATAGCCTGGCCTTTTCTTGAGCTCATCACAGTTCCCCTGCCTCAACTTGCTGAATGCTGGGATTGTATGTGTGCGCCACCATACCTGGCCTCATTTTGAGTCTTGCTGGGAATATGCAAAAGAGTCTACTCTTTGTATCGTCTGGGTGTGATTCTAAAGTGCATTTAGATATAACGATCCATAGAAGTGTGCTTTTTTCCTTCTAGAAAGATGGTGTGGGCTCCTTTCTGTGGTCCTCTCCTGGGACTTTACAAGCAGATAGGGAATGTGCTTGATGCCTCCTCCAGATGTGCAGCCTCCCTATGTACCATCACAGGACAATGGGTGGCTACCTTCCTGCACACTTATGGCAGGCTGGTGTACAAATAGGCCAAAGCCCACTAGTTGACAGTGAAGGAGTTCAGGAAATGGCATCCTGAAGTGGTAAGTCTGGGGATGCTGTTCTACTGAGGTTACCAGAGGCATTCTCTCGAGTTTCCTTCATCTCCTTGGATAGGTCTTCTAAAAAGAAAGCAATGGTCATGGATCCTCTCTTCTGGGAAGTGCCTCAACTAGGCAGGACAGAACTAGGAGGTCATTGTCTTGCTCAGATGGTCTCCATCACAAGACAGAGTGATGGAGACCATGTGACAGGGCTTTCTGACAGTGCTCTTCTGTTTTTTTGTTGTTTTGGTTTGGTTTTTTGAGACAGGTTTCTTTGTAGCTTTGGAGCCTGTCTTGGAACTCACTCTGTAGACCAGGCTGGTCTCGAACTCACAATCCACTTGTCTCTGCCTCCTAAGTGCTGGTATTAAAGGCATGTGCCAGCACTTCCCGGCTGACAGTGCTCTTCTGACAGGGCCTCGCCGAGACAACTTTCATTACGTGAGAGCTTTGGTTCCTAACAAGATAGTCTGCTTTTTCCACTTCTCCCCTCACAGCTTGCTATCAACACCTTCAAGAAGGCCCATGCTCCTGTTGCTGTCTGTAGTCCAGGATCCTCTTAAGTTTCCAGGTCTCATAAGCTTAGAGGTATTCACAATCCTTTTCCCTTTTCACCCATGCATATAATAAAATCGCCTTTCCTTCTCTTAATCTGTTCCTGTCTCTTCAAAGACAATTAGTAAACCTTCAGAGATAGATACATGGAAAGTTCCCTCCCTGTGCAATAGCTGTGTGAGTTTGAGTGTGTGTGTGTGTGTGTGTGTGTGTGTGTGTGTGTGTGTGTATGCCATGACACCCTTGTAGAAGTCAAAGGAAAGCCTTGTGTGTGTGTATGTCCTCACTTTCCTCCTTGGGACAGGATGTCATTGTTGTCTACCTGGTCTGCAAGCTTCTGGGAGTCTTTCTGGCTTCTCCTGTCTCACTGTAGAACCCTGAGATTACAGACATGTGGCCTTAGTGGTCCTGGCGATGCAAATTCACGCCCTCACACTTGCATGGCAAGTGGTTTACCCAGGAACCATCCCCCCACCTCTGCAACACCTTTTTATTTTTATCAGTGAAACAAAAACTGCCTACTCCCATCATGCAAAAACTCCAAGAAGAATTGAAGAGGACACTTCTTTTGTCCTTCCTGTTTTCTGGAATTCTTCCATGTTTGAGGTCACAGAAGCAGCAGTCACCTTGCTACAACTTTATTGCTTACTCACCTCCCGCCAAGTGGAAGTCCAACCCAAAGCTTTACGTAGAATTCAGAGCTGCTGTGGGTATCTGCTGTTGTTGCCTGCTCAGCATTTATTTCCTATATTCCTGGAGCAGTTCTCCCCTGCTAATGGCCAAAATCCTAGCTTCTGGGATCCAAGTTCTGAGTCAGCTCCCAGTTTACAATTTGCAAATGCCCCACTACTTACAAAGCGGTTACATTCAGACAAGCCCACTATCAGTCAAAATCTTGGGAGTTGAAAATGCACAGGATACACCACACAGCATAGCAGCACGCAGTGCTGCAGACAGTCCGTTGTTTCTCCTTGTGACCCTGCGGCTGACTGGAAGCTGCAGCTTGCTGCCCTGTTCAGCATCCCAGGGGAGGTGTGTGCTGCATATACCACCAGCCTGGGAAAAGCGCCAAGCTCAAAGTATGGTTTCTATTAAATGCGCATCATTTTTACTCTGATGTAAGGTCAAACTATTACAAGTTGGAGACTGTGAGGGCTTCTGTCTCAGTTTTCCATAGATAAAGTAAGAATAGTGAGATGACTGAATTAGAAATTGAGGAAGGTACTGAGTTCCGACTGAGAACTGTTCCCCCAAACCGCTCTGTATTTGGGGTGTATTATCATCGGACCCAGTTCTAAGACTAGGCACAGGTCCCAGGCCTGGCTGTTAGGCACATTCCTTCCATCTGAAACACATGCAGATTAGAAGTGTGGCTACAGCAAGGCTTGAACAGAGCTACCTAAGTCTTGTTGGCACTCCCAGAAAACCAGGCTGTTGCTGAAGGGGAGAAGCTTGGG